TCTGGTTGCCCTCTGCTGTGACATCTACTTCTGAGACCATCTGGTCTCCCGGCTTCCCAAGTCTAGCTCTCTTCCTCCAAATGTCACTGCCCAGGCTCCTCTGAAGGGTCCTGCTAGCCCCACTCAGGCATTGCTGTCCCTTGGTGCTCTGGCCCTTGATCTACTCTCAATACTTGGGGTTCTTAACCACCAGGCAACATTCCCCAGGGCCTAGAGTTTCTCTTAATTTTGGAGGCTAGGGGCGCCTGGGTGGCTCAGTCGTTAAGCATCTGCCTTCGGCTCAGGTCATGATCCCAGGGTCCTGGAATCGAGCCCCGCATCGGGCTCCCTGCTCGGCGGGAAGCCTGCTTCTCCCTCTCCCACTGCCCTTGCTTGTGTTCCCTCTCTCACTGTGTCTCTCTCTGTCAAATAAATAAAATCTTAAAAAAAAAAAAATTTTGGAGGCTAAAGACCCCTTCAGGAATCTGACAAAATCAAGGACTATTTGTCCCCAGAACACACACATACACTGGAATTCTGTATATATGTTCCAGGGTTCCATATATATTTACATATGTTAATTTTATACATATGAATAAATCCCAAATATGCTACTCCACCTGGGCCTCTCTCCAGAACTTTATTTTTTTAAGTAGTTTCCACACTGAGTGTGGAGCCTGATGCAGGGCTTGAACTCATGACCCTGGGATCAAGAACTGAGCTACAATCAAGAGTCAAATGCTTTACTGACTGAGCCACCCAGGTGCCCCTCTCTCCTGAACTTTAGATGTAGATAAACCTGCGCTGTCCAATATAGCAGCCAATAGCCATACGTGGCTACTTAAGTTTAAATTTAAATTAATTAAAATTAAATAAAAATTAAAATTCAGCACCTTAATCCTGCCAGCTACATGTCATGTGCTCATAGCCACATGTGGCCAGTGGCAGTCCCATCGGGACAGCACCGATGTCGAGCATTTCCTTCATTAGAGAATGTTCTAACAGAACAGTCTATTGATGTATATGAGTGGTTGCTGATCATTTCTATTTGAATGTCCACTAGGCCATTCCCCCTCCTGTTGGATTAGTCGGCAGTACCACGCGTAACCACGATACTATGTCACCACCCTAAAATCTCAGTGGCTTACAGAAACAAGCGTCTTCCCAGCTCCCTTGCCTGCAGGGCAGCTGGGGCAGCTGATTCGGCTGCAGGTCTCATCAGCCCTGCTCTCTGTGTTTTGTGGTAGGCCCCAGACTGCAGGGGAGCAGACACGTGGGACTTGCTCTTCCAGACATGGCTTCCTTATTTTTGCTCACACTCTACAGGCCAAATCGAAGTTCGGGACCAGGCCCCACAGCTGGGGATGAGTCATGGTGTGGATTGCCCGTGGGGCACCACGGGTGGGCAGGAAAGGAAGGGAAAGCTGCAAACTAATAACCCAACCTCCCAGAGGCCAGAACTACCCCCCC